CCCTCCCTAACGCTGCGACCCTGTAATACAGTTCCTCATGTTGTGATGACCCCAACCCTAAAATTATTTTCGTTACTGCTTCATAACTGTAATTTTGCTACTGTGAATCGTAATGTAAAGATCTGTTTTCTGATGGTCTTAGGTGACCCCTGTGAAGGGATCATTCGATGCGGTTGAGAAGAACTGCTTTATTAAAAGCCAGTGCTCTACCATGGAGCTACACCCTCCAATCACAGTTGTTCAAGCTCCTAAAGGCTGGCTCTCCTCTGCCAAGTGTAGAAGGCATGTTTATCGGGGGATCTGTGGGCATTCATAGGGTTCCATGATTAGAGGTGACCCCTCATGGCAAGAGATCTCACTGGACTAAGCTAGAAGCAGAAATCACTGGATCCTCTTGAGGGAAGCTGGAAACCTAACCAGGACTTCCCTGTGGAACTTTCCAGCCGGCACTGAGGGAAGACTTAAGGGACTCTGCCTCACTGGTGCCCTGCGCTACTTCAGGGAGACCCCCGGGGCAAGCTTCTTGGTGGCAAAGGCCTTTCCAGCAGCTCCCAGCAGCTCCGGGATATTTAATATATATTCTATTCCTTGACGGAGCCCCTCCCATTTCATAGTATTGACGGTTCCTCAACTCAGTCCGTGGTTGTCAGGGCTAACCTGTGTCTCCACAGAGCAAGGGATCCTTCCAGGAGAGAGTTTGAGGCAGTAGCTATTGTGAGGCTGTTCCCAGGGAAGGTTCATGACCTTTGAACTCTGGGGTAGGTGGGCCAGACCTCATGAAGCCTCTAGAATACCTGATGCTATTTTTTTAGTTTTGTTTTGTTTGAGACAGGGTCTCAAGTAGCCCTTACTGGCTTTGAACTCAGTGTCTCCAGGATAACAGACAGGGTCACCATGCCTGGTGAGCACTAGACTGATATTGAGGGGCCCAGGATCCAAGAGACAGGGACAATCAAGGGAACAACCCTGAGAAAGCGGGTGGGTGGCTGAGGGAACCCCTTATAATATTTAGCTCTTGGAGGTCAAAGTCCCCTTCTGGTATTGTTCTTAACGCTGGAGCATGGGGAAGGCAAGGCTATCTGGCGACCCCTAGAGCTCCTTGGCTGGTGTGCAGCCCAGGTGCAAGCTCTCTGCAGCTTGGGCAAGGCCGTATGATGTCTAAATGATGCCTAAAATCTGCTAGGAACAGATCGGAGATGGTTGACGCAAGGAAGTAAAGGCATCCAAACTGCTTGATCTCTGTAGAACTGTTCTAATCCAGGAAAACAAAACCCAAAAGAGCCAAGCCCCTGACCATGAGATGAAGCCTGTCTAAAGCAACAGACTCAAGAAACAGAACAGTGCGGAACTGCCTCTCACAACCTCCATAAACGGAACATCTCTCGGCTTCCATAGCAACGTGGCAAAACAAGAGCCAGGGAGTTAAGGGGGCGGGAGTCAGAGGTCAAGTCGGTGTGTGTGTGTGTGTGTGTGTGTGTGTGTGTGTGTGTGTGTGTGTGTGTGTGTATAGTGAAGACATTAGCTCCACCAATGGGGATTCTTTTGCCCCATGGTTTGCTCGGCAGCATCCGGAGCCACCGGGACAGGCGACAACTCTCAGGAAGCTAAATGGGGCTGAAACCCAACCCCAGCACAAGAATCCTAGGCTTCAGCTCATAATGATGCCTGTGGCCAGACAGTGCTGGCTAGAGACAGGAAGGGCTGGAGGGGTTACCAAAGCTGGGCTTGGTGGGGTAGAAGCTACCAGGATGCTGGAATTCAGAAGAGGAGGGGGTTAGAAGAGGAGGGGCATGCTGAGACCTAGGAAACTAGCTACATTGTGTGGAAAGGAGGAGAAGCCTGGGATGTGGTGTCCAGTGACTTGGCAGGTTCACACCCTGATCCCTGCCTGAGCTAGGAAGCCTACCCCATAGCTCTTGAGCCAGCACCCCCCTGCTCAGCCTTCCACAAGCCAGTTTGCTCTTTACATGTTTCACCAAAGCAAAGCAGCAGAAGACGGGCTAGAATCTTTATCTTCCAGCTGTGAAATCAGAACGGCCCATTCCCTTGGCTCGGTGACTGATTTAGGGTAGGAAGTATTTCTGAGAAAGCTGGTGATGATTTGATACCAATTTTGCTGGACTGCTTATAGGTGCAGGCTTTTTCTCAGTATGTACAGACCTGCACAGTTTGGACCTAGAAGTTCCGTGGACTCCTTTCCTCATGTAGAAACAGGAGCAGAGGCAGGTGATAGACTCAGTCTTGGTACGTTTCTTGAATTCCTGGATGAAGCGTCCCCTGAAGTTCTCCCAGGACATTTTAGTCATAGAAAACTGGAACATCTTTTTTTTTTTAACCTTATGAACTGGAGTCTGGTCCCCACTGATTTGCAGTGTCGACGGCGGTAACTCTGCACCGGTGTTCCTCTGGTCTCTGGCCATCACACTCCAGCAGATGCGCCTCTGCCTGTGCCCTCCAGTGATGTGCCCCGAGTTCAGCAGAGTTGGAAGCCTGTTTACTTACTGCACAGGAATACCACCATACTCCAAGGTCCGCGATCTGCTTCAGGGGAGAAGCAAGATCAGCAGGACACAGTTCTTGCTTTCAAGGAATTTGTAGACTCAGGACATATTATTAAATGAACCACAGCGTGCAACGGGATGTGTGCTTATGCAAGTCTGTGCAAAACCCAGAACATACCCAGGGGAAGGATTTCTGCCTGGGGAGGTGAGGGGAGCTGCCAAGGACATGATCTGGGTGACAAAATGAGACAGAGGTTGGAGGCGGGCTATGATCCTGTGATGCCAACCTCCTTGTCCTTGCTTTACGTGGCCGTGGCCGTGGTTCTTTGGTGCCCCTCCCCCATGGGTTAACCCTAACTCATAATGTCTCCTGTAGAGAAGCTGGACCTGATCTCTCTGGTGATAAACTAAAGTCATTTGGCCACATGGGCTACCCTGGGCTCTCTAGCCTGAAGAGAGACGAGTATGTTATTTAAAAAAAATTTTTTTTCTTTAAAATCGGGCTGGAGATGTAGCTAAGTAGTTAGAGAGTTGTTAGGGTGTTTGCTTAGCATTCGTGAAGCTGTGGGCTTGATACGTATGCTTACATATCACACATATAGAACCAGTGTTGTGGCTCCTGCCTGTGCTTCCAGCAATCAAGAGGTAGAGACAGGAGGGTCAGATGTTCAAGGCAACCCTTGGCTACTTAGTAAGATCAAGGCCAGCCTGGGCTACTTGAGACCCTGTCTCAATGATGACGATGGTGATGATGATGATGGTAATGAAGATGACGGATAGAAAAATATTATTGGGGCTGGGGAGAGGGTTCAGCAGGTAAATTGCTTGTAACCTGCAAGCATAAAGGCCTGAGTCCACATCCCCTGGACCCACATAAAAAGCTGGGCATGGCATGTGTGTCTGTAGCTCCTGTATTGGGGAAGCGGGGACAGGTGGATCCCCAGAGCTCACTGGCCTATTAGTTTATCCAGGTTCAGTGAAGGGGCCTTGTCTTAGAAACTAAAGTGGAGAGGGCAGAGAAAGAGACCTGACTTTGACCTCTCTCCTCCATATAACTGTATGCATGTCTGTGTATGTATGCACAGACATACCATACATACACATATCACACACTTGATTTATTTACTTAGTTGTTTCGAATGTTTTTCTTTTGAGAATGTAAGTTTTACATAAGCAAGTTAGCCAAATCAAAGTGAGTTTTCTACCAGATGGTGTCTTCCCACTTGGCCACCCTGAAGTGCCCCAGGAACCAGGCAGATGAGTGGCTTGAAGCACATAAACACATGTGAGCCTTTCAGGTAGGCAGTGGCGGTAGAGATCTCCTAGCTTTTCATTCCATCTTCTCGGGAACAGTTGGGCTTTATTTAATCTGGACCAGGGTGAACTTTTGTATAAAGAATACACAAGCAGATCTACTTTAGAAATCAGGGTTAGGTTTTATTTTATGTGGATCCAGTGTTGACTGTAAAGGGAAAACTAAAACAAATACCCAGTGAGCCGTGACTGCTTCTGGGGAGGTGGCAGTCACCTCTGCATGCCTCTCCTGCTCAGGCTGGGGCCTTTACAGTTCATGCACACCTGGGTAAAGGTGAGGACAGGAACTCTGGTGATCTTTGAAGGGATAGTGTTGGCCCTGGCAGGCCCTCAGTGTGTCCTCAAGCTTCTATTTTTTTTTTTTAAAAGAGGGAAGTAGAAACCATGTGTGATGGTATATAGAATGCTGTGGCATGGGAACACCCACATCATATATATGCGTACACGTATGCTTACATATCACACACATACAAGAAAAGAAAAAACATATATAAAGGATTCCAAGGTCAGTTCTTGCTTTTGTTGGTAAGACACTGGGCTCCATCAAGTGGCCATCTACTAAGTCAGACTTGTGCGTTGCATTGTTCAACATTTGAGAGGCTGAGACAAGGGCATAGCAGCAAGTTCAAGGCCATTCTGGGACACCTATCAGGCCCTTGTCTCACAAAAACCAAAACAACAGCAATGAGCTGCTACCAGGATTTATCATGCATTTAGTTTCCTTGTGCGGCCAAGTGAGGGCTGGCTTCAGCTCAAGCACTCTCTAAGGGTCTGCCCTGTCTTCTGCTTCCCCCTTGAGTGCGTCAACTTGGTATTCACCCACTCCTTTAATTTTTTCCTAATTATGTCATCCTATCAACGTAAATGATGCATGTTGTAAAACGGATGGGATACAAGAAAATACAAAGACAGAAGCAGCATTCACCCAAATTTCACCTAAAGTCAGCTGATGGTAATCACTAGTCAACATCATCCCACACATCTCTCTCTACACAGGAAGGAACATCTGGAGGACGGCGGAGACAGCATCAGTGAGGCTGACAAAGATGCTACGCAGATGACCACCACTGTGCACACACGAACACATTGTAGAAGTGAGTTCTACACTGAATTTTAAATGAATTTAGCGAGAACTTCAAATAATTGTTCCTCCCTACCCCCCTTTCCCCCCAAATTTCCTATAAGGTGCTACCAAATATAAGGAAATTCAATAAGGTGAATTCAGTGTGAGTGTGTACACATGTGTGTTTGGGTATTCATGCATGTGTGTGTTTGGGTATTCATGCATGTGTGTGTTTGGGTGTTCATGTATGTGTGTGTTTGGGTGCTCATGCATGTGTGTGTTTGGGTGCTCATGCATGTGTGTGTTTGAGTGCACATGTATGTGTATGGGTGTGTAGGCTAGATGACAACCTGAGTATTATTCTTCAGGAGCTCTCTACCCTTATATTTGTTTGTTTATATGCTGGGGTTGCTCATCCTGGAGCCCCACTGACCAGGGTAGCTTGGCTGGCCAGCACGTCCACAGACCCAGCTTTCCCTCCCCCGTGGGATTATGAGTGTACACCATCAGGCTAGCTTTTTCAGGTACTGAGGATCAAACTCAGGTCCTTACACATGCAGGGCAAATGCTTTACCACAGAGCCACACCCAGGCCCGGTGTCTGTGTGTTTCCAGCGTGTCTTCCCATGGACAGCACAGATCAGCTGTATCTAGGGAAGGAAAGGGACAGGCACACTCATCTTGTCTTCCTCTTCCTCCCAACTTCAGTGTCTGGGTTAGTCTAACTTTGTCAGCATTTCATTGTTCAATCTCAAGCCACTATTCTCCTGGTGTCTAATGGCCGCCTGGGTAGAAACCACATTCTCACCAGGCATTAGAGGAACAGGACTTTTTATTTTGATTCATCCTTGAGATCACAGGGCTCCACCACCAAGTCCATTTTTCAGGAGGACCCTTAGATGTGAGCCTTTTTTATGCCTGGAAATACAATCTCCAGTCTTCGAATTCTCAGTCTCGCTCAGCTGTGTGGGGTCCACTTGGATGGCACTTTTTCCTCCTAGACGTTTTGCCCTTTGTTATGGCACTGGCTGCTGCTGGAAGAGATCTGAAGCTGCTTTATTCTTCTTCTTGTGGGTTTTTTTGTCTTGAGTATGAAAGATATGTGTGTATATAGTTCTAAGCTTAATGGATCAGCCAGAATGTCTGCTTCTGTAGATGTTTCCTTATAAACGGTGCTTTCAATTTTTTTTAAAAAGTGTGTTATTATTATTTGTGTGCATGGGTGTTTTACCTGCACACGATTATCTGTTCACCACATGCTGTGACCACAGAGCCGGAAGAGGGCATCGGATCTCCCGGGACTGGAGTTACATAGGGTTGTGAACCACCATGTGGGTGCTGGGAATTGAACCTGGCTCCTCTGGGAGGGCCACCAGTGTCCTTAAGCACGGAGCCATCTCCCCAGCCTGTGTTTTCAATCTTTATACTCCCAGCTAGACCCATCAATAGCCATGTGACTTCAGAGAGATTGTCCCCATGAGCTTTTGCTTCTAGAATCAACAAGTAGTAGCCATATCTGTCTTAGTCGCCACACAGAGCCGGCAAGGCAACGAAGAAACAAGCGTGAAGCCATCTGTCATGTTGTGCTGTATAAGGTGTCATTATTCAGGGGTGAGTCAGGGGGTGCAGGGCCCCCCTCCTCCAGTTCCATTGAGGTCAACTCCAGATCCTCACAGGGCTGGCTTAGCTTGTCAGTTATCTAGAAGTCTCATTTCTTTCTACTGGCTGAGATGGCTTTCCAGAATGTAACGTGCCCACCAGGTAGAATTGATTTCAAGCCAATTAACCCTAGAGGACATGGTGGCAGGGGACGGAGTTGAACAAATCTGAGCCTGAGCTTAAGAGACCATGAAGAATCTGGAGGTTGGAGTCATCCTTGCCAACCTCCTTGTACTCACAGTGACTTACAGAAGCCGTGTTGTGCGTATTGAACACATGGGTACGGGTTCTTCGGGCAGTGTCTCTCAAGGTGGGTTCCTGCATCGATTACTTTGCCAGTTCCTGTAAGAGAATATTGTAGCAAGTCTCTCCCTGTGCGGCCAGTCCCCAAATAATGACATGGAGGCATATTATTAATTATGAAAGTTCAGTCTTAGCTTAGGCTTGTCCACTAGCTCTTATAACTTAAACTAACCCATATTTTTTTTTATTCATCTACATCTTACCACATGGCATTACCCCTTTTTCATCTTGAACTTCCTGTTTCCTCTCCGTGTCTCCTGATGTCTCCTCCTCTTCCTTTCTCTCCATGGAAGATGGTTTCCTGCCTAGCTATTGGCCGTTTAGCTTTTCAGTACCCCAATCACAGCAAATACACCTTCATACAATGTACAAATATCACGCAACAGAATATCTGACAGAAACAGCCGAAGAGCAGAGAAGTTTGTTTAGAGGGTATGACACATCATGGCTAGGAAGGCATCATGATTGACATGGCTGTCCTTGCTGGTAGGGACTTGAGGCTTGTTCACATCATGACTGACCAGGAAGTAAACAGTTGAGACCAGAACCAGAAGTAGGTATTGCCTTTAAGGCTGAGGCAAGAGGATTGATGTAAGTTCGAGGCCAGCCTGGGCTACACTGTGAATTCCAGGCCAGCCAGGGCTACCACTGAGGAATGCTGTCCTCAGTACAACAGTCATTACCTATTTAATCAGAGTGGCCATGACTCCCCTGAGAGAAATGCTTTGCAGGAGGGGCTGGAGACGCCCATTTGTCCCTCACCTGAGATCCCAGTCACTCTCTTCAGCACCTTCAAAGCTACTTATGTAATTCCCCCTCAGCTGCACATGGAGGCAGGCTGTGCAGACCACGTGAAGGGTGGAAGGTTAACCGAAGGGGGAACCCCATCTGCACAGTTATGGGGAGGTCATCCTCTATGCTGGGGTAGAGACTTCACTGAGGTGGCTATGTTGGGGCCATCCACGCTGCTATAAGTAACCCCTCACCCACACTCCCATAAGTGGACTCAATAAACGTGTTGGCTCCCAAAACTGGACAGTGTGGTTCATTTCTTGGTTCTGGTCTTGGTGCCCTATCTGGGGTGAATAGTTGTTTGCTCGTGTCTCCCCAGGAAAAGTTAAGCCATCAGCTACATAGCAAAACTGCTTAAAAACAAAAACAAAAACAAAACCCAACAGCCAAATAAACAGCACCCTGGGAGATCCAGAGATGAGCTTCAGCATTCACAAGACAGCAACAGAGAAAGCCCTGCCCTGCCCAGTGTCTGAGCCCTGTGCCCAGTGTGGGGTTTGACATCTGGGGGCACATGCAGCCTTGGGAAGACCCAAGGATGGAGAGGCCTCCTTGCTCCTGCCTGCTTTCTCTTCCCTTCAGCGATCTTGGACAAACACATTTCCCTTTGGAAGCTTATCTATAAGGAGGGAGTGAGCCCTCCAAACTTCAGATCATGGGGCTCCCTGTAGAATAAAGGGGGTCCCTAGCCCCCTCACAAGTTGTACCCTCTGCATTCATGCCAGCTTTTCTCCCCCTTCAGAATCAGCCGGATTCATAGGAATGCCCCTAAGATTCTTCTCAGTCACCCTTGAAGTACTTGAAGGTGCTCTCCGGGTATTTCAGGAACGAAGCCTGGCAGGACACCGAGAACTGGAGATCTCAGATAGTTTTGGAGGAAGGGTCCAGCAAGGAGCGGGACTCCCCCCCCCCCACTGTGGGCCCTGGGCGGTCTGTCCTCAGCCTGGGGAGAAGTTTGCTTCAGCTCCTGGTATTTCCTAAGGCAGTGTTCAGCCAGCTAGGTGATGGGCGGGAGCCATGGATGCTCCAGCTGGCCTGCAGTGGGAAGGTGCTGCTTTGGAGATCTGCTTCCTCCACACCCTCTGCAGCTGGGGCAGCTGGGGCTCCACCTTGATGACATCCAGGAGCAGGGAGGAGAGATGCTGAAGGATGCTCTGTGTGGAGACTGCGTGCTGCAGCAGGGGCTGACTAAGCAGCCTGCAGTGTGGCATTGAGCACCACAGTCCAGCCAGCACGGAAACAATTCACAGCCTTAGACAGCAAGCCCACCTCGGAGGCAAAGCCCAGAAAGGCAGAAAACCGAAGGAATTCTTTCTAGCTTGACCTGACCCCTCTTCTCCGGCTCAAGTGGCCCACACAACAGCTGTGTCTTGGAGTTGTCATGGCAGGCTTATCCCCAAAGACTACGATCCTTGTCTGGGACAGGATCTGGAGATTGGAGTTCTGTGTCCCTCATCACACCCTGGCAACCGACTTCCGCCCCGCCCTCCGATCGCTTTTTCGGGTGCAACCCGAGTCCTGGTGCCGCTCACTCGGCTGTTCTCACCCATCGTCTAGATCTACATGGAAATTAAATAGAGAGGGATCTTCTTTCTTGCCGAAATTCCTCAGTTTGCGGTGGCCGGGGTGGGGTCACCTCTCAGAGCTTCTTTCTACATTGTGTCCATCGCCTGTGGTAAGGACTCTGAGGATTCCAGGAGACCCCGGGGCGCATTTTCAGGGCTGCTCACCTGCCCGTCTTTATGCCTTCCTTTTGAATGGGTGACAGGAATCTCACCATGTTACCCAGACAGGCCAGTAACTATGGACCTGAGCAATCCACCCTCCTACTCCAGGATCCCTAGTAGTTAGGGCTGAAACTGTGGCTCATGTCACTGATTTCTGACACTTTTAAGGTCTGGAGAGCCATTAGTAAACGCAGGGGCCAGGGTGAGAGAGAGAGAGAGAGATGACACTGGGTCCCATGAGGGTAGAAGTGTGCTGGTGCCACAGCTGTTGTCCCACGTCCTCTGCTGTTGAACGCTGTCCCCAGGCGTCTGGCCTGTGCTCTCAGCGGCCGGGAATGGGCCGGGCTCCACCTGCCTGGCTATGGTGCTCTGTGGCCCTCCACTTCGGCAAGGGCCCGTGGTCTGCTCAGAGGCTCTATCATGTCAGCTCTAGGGGTTTCATCTCTGCCTCATTCCCACTGAGGAGAAACACCAGACAGCGTTCTTGGCTAGGGGACACCAGAATGCTGGATAGGAGGTGGGTGGGACATTTTTTCCACACCGACCGCCCTGGTTGTCCTTATTGTTGGTTCCTTTTTCTCCCTTGTTTGATGTCCAGGACACGGGGACAAGAGTTTGGCCACCATAGCTGAGTTTATAATTAATTACTTAATTATAATTAATGGCTACTAAATTAAGTTGCCGATTAATTAGGTGCAATTGAGAAAGAGGGAAGGGAGCACAAGCCTGGGGCGCCACCTAGGGGAGGAGGTGCTTACTGCTAGTCCAAAATGATACCACTCTGACATTTACTTGGTTTATGAAAATCTGAACACACACACACACACACACACACACACACACACACACACACACACACACACACAATGTGACAGAAAGAAAATGAATAGCTATTCATGTCCTCAGAATTGTTTCTTCTTTATAGGGCATCCCTGCTATAAATGTAGTTTACAAACCTTTTCGCCACCGAGGCGAAGGCAGTGGTGCTTGCTTGAAACACCAAAAGCAACTCCTGACCCTTCCCGAGAGCAACACACATGCATCAGCCACTATTCAGATAGTCTTCTTTTTGTCCTCTACATCTTCCTTTAAAACATGGAGATGAATATTGAGGAATCTCCCTGGAGGACAACTGATCTTCATTCCTGGTTGATGTTACATCTAAGACGAGCTACTGGTTCCTGATCAAGTTCCCACCTAAGGACAGAAGTTCTCATATCAAAACCTCCATCTCCATCTCTCCCAAGTCCAGCCTGCTTCATCCCAGGGCCTACTAGGAAAACTCACCTAGACCACTGACCTCCCCTAAACCTGCTCCACATACGCCTTTTTTCTAGCTTGGTGGCTCAGAGAAGCAGCCCAGGAGTCAGCCTGGACTCCTCTCTCGGCCACCTTGAGCCAATGGATCCACCAGGGATTTTCCAGACATTACCTCAAAACATTTCTAGAATCTGGCAACTGCTCCCCCCACCCCCACCCCCGCCCCGTGCAGCTCCCAGATCTGTGTTGGCACAACGCCTTGTCCCAGGTTGCTGCAATGGCATCATTGCTGGCCTCCTTCATCAGTGGACGTCAGTGGAGCAACCATCCGATGTGAGATGACGTTTCCCCTCTGCTGGAGAGCTTGCAGTGGCTCTCCCTGTATTCCAAAGAAAAGTGCAAGCCCTGTGAGGGACAAGGCTCTGCACGACATGTACCCTGAGAGCCTGATTCCCTCCACGGTAAGCCCAGCTCACTGATCTGCACACTGGTCTCCCCTATGCCCTAAGCGGTGACCTGGCTGTTCTCTTCTCCCTGATGCTTGCACAGGATCTCTCATGGCTTTCAAGTGTTTGCTCAAAAGTCACCACCCCGAGAGAAGTACCTGGACAAGTGCTCACACCCGACAATGCATACCTACATGGAGTGTATGTGCTCAGTTCTCTGGAGCTGAGGCAGAGTACTCACAGTAATACACTTTGGCTTAATTAAAAGTAGGGTATCTTTATGTCCTGTTTTGCCTGGGATCATGCCAATTTACAGCCATTACCCCAGTGTAATTAAGCTTTGCTTCCACATTTCAGAAGTGATACGGTTTGTTTGATAAATTCTATGCTTGACCTTTGGGCAAACTCTGACACACTTGGCTTTCTCCCTAGCTCTTCTTATCAACAGCATGCTAAAGGTTCACTGCTCGCAATCATCTCATTGTTTCCTGCTGACCCCCAGAGCCAGGCAACAAACACCTTTGAACTTGCCCTCAGTCCCCCACCCACCTATCTTTCAAACTGTACAGACATGTATGGGCACGGACAGACACACAAACACATACTTCTGTGGTACTCTGTAAACTATGTAAGGGCAGCTCCTGGACTACTGAAAAGTCTGGGCCAACTTTCTTTTCCTTTCTTTTTCTGAGAGACAGTCTCATGTAGTGCAGGTTGGCCCTGAATTTGTTCTGCAGCCAAGTGTAGATGTAACCAACCGTCTTATTAAATAAGAATCACAGAACCAATGCAAAGAAGAAAGCCAAGAGATTAGAGCTAAGAGCCTTACCGCCTGCTGCAGCTAGCCTCTTAAGCCAAGAGACCTCTCCGAAAGAGAGCTACTTCCGGTGTGTTTGTCTTTATATAGTCTTTCTGTTCTGCCTTCTCATTGGTTGTAAACCCAAACACATGACTGCCTCATCACTGCCTGTTTGTACAGCCCTCCAGGTCTTCTATGGTATTGAGATTAAAGGCGTGTGTCTCCAATGCTGGCTGTATCCTTGACCACACAGAGATCTACCTAGCTCTTCTACCAACTACTGGGATTAAAGGCGTGCACCACAAACGCCCAGCTCCGCTATGGCTTGGCTATTAGCTCTGACCCCCAAGCAACTTTATTAACATACAAATAAAATCACATTTCAGTACAAATAAAATACCACCATAGCCAAGGGTGACCTTGAACACCTTATCCTCGATCATCCTGCCTTCACTTCCCAAGTGTTAGCATTACAGGTGTGCATGACAATGCCTGGAACTAACTCTCTCTCTCTCTCTCTCTCTCTCTCTCTCTCTCTCTCTCTCTCTCTCTCTCTCTCTCCTCTCCTCTTCTCTTCTCCTCCCACAGAAGAATTTATTGCCATTTAATTAACTTTCCTGTGTGGTTTCAAGCCAACCGAATGCAGCTATCCCAATACCTTTAACCTTTTCCTCAGTCCTCCTGCTGAAAAAGCAGCTTCAGTGACAGCTGCCTAGTGGACTTTCCCCTTTCCCTTCCCCAGAATGACACAGTAGCCTGATCGGACCACATCAGTGATAGGGGCAGCCTTAGTCTTGTTTTGGCACCATTTAACAAAATGTGTCTGTTCCTGACCAATGTCCACAATTTATCAGCATCGTTTGGGTGAAAGCTCCGGTTCTTCTTTAACTGGTAACGCCTCCTACCAGCTTTCCAGAGTCACCTGGATGATGTTTGTCTAAGCTGATCCTCTGGTGACATATGCCATCAGCAGCACCCCAGCTTCCAGGTTGCTTCCAGTGTGTACCCATGCACCCATGGCGTGGCTTCACATGGGTCCGAAGTTTCTGGATTTTCCCAAATCTGGATGGCATGGTGGTGCCAGAGGGAAGAAACCAGATGTTGTGGAATATTCCTTTAACTAGGCAAAGATGGGTTACATTTGTTTATGTTGTGAAATGTTACTTTCACTGTGTAAAGCTGTGTTACATTTGTTCATGTTGTGGAATGTTACTTTAACTGTGTAAAAGTGTGTTACATTTGTTCATGTTGTGGAATGTTACTTTAACTGTGTAAAGGTGAGTTACATTTGTTCATGTTGTGGAATGTTACTTTAACTGTGTAAAGGTGTGTTACATTTGTTCATGTTGTGGAATGTTACTTTAACTGTGTAAAAGTGTGTTACATTTGTTTATGTTGTGGAATCTTACTTTAACTATGTAGGGGTGTGTTACATTTGTTTATGCTGCACTTGTTGAACCATGTAAAGATGTGTTACATTTATTTATGCTGCATTTGTTTAATTATGTAAAGATGTATTGCTATTTCACCTTGCCTGCCTAAGGCACCTAATTGGTCTAATAAAAAGCTGAATGGACAATAGTGAGGCAGAGGAGGGATAGGCAGGGCTGGGGAAAGAGAGAATAAGTAGGAAGAGGAATCTAGGCTTGGAAAGTAGGAAAGTATCGAGAAGAGAATGAGGGAGAAAGAGAAGGAGATCCCTGGAGCCAACCAGCCAGACACAGAGTAGGACATACAGAATGAAAGACAGGTAAAAAGCCCCGAGGCAAAACGTAGATGAAGAGAAACAGATTAATTTAAGTTATAAGAGCTAGCAAGAAACAAGCCTAAGCTAAGGCTGAGCATTTATAACTAATAGTAAACCTCTGTGTCATGATTTGGGAGCTGGTTGGCAGCCCATCTCCAAACATCATCTACCCATCATGTTTTAGTGTGTATCAGGCCCTGTGCTCGATGCATAAACTCTTTGCCCACAAGAGCACACAGTCTAGAGAATGAACGGATACTGGGGGGTCAATATAAATGCAAAAACAGCTCCTGTGGAGAGAAAATGACAGGGACAGAGACCCAGCTTGAGAAAGGAGCATCCGAGAATTTTAGGAAGAGCAGGTCTGTGGGCTTGGCAGCTAGAGGCTATAGCAATTTAGAAGACAGGGCAATTCAACACCAAGATCCAGAGCATGAAGTAGTGTGGCGTAGGTGGCCCAAAGAAGGGAAGGACTGTGATACCAGTAATACCGAGCGTGAGAGAAGCAGGGGTCAGGCCACCCTAAGGACTGAGAACTTCCAAGTGAGAGTCTCCAAGGCAGTAGTCTGGATATTATGCCAAATGTGACAGAAAGCTGTTTTGGGGTTTGAAGCTGGAGGGTGACCTGATAGATCCTTTAAAGGTTGTCTTTGGTGGCTTCTTGGAGAATTAGTGAAAATAGAAAAGAATGGAGTTCTTGGGGGAGGTAGAGCTTAGTTGTTTTTCTGTTGCTGTGACAAAACACCATTACCAAGGCAACTAATTAAAGGAAGCGTTTATTTTGGGGTCTTATGGCTCTAGAGGGTTTTGGAGTCCATGACCATCATGGCGGGGTGCATGGCAGCAGGCAAGAATAGCACTGGAGCAGTAGCTGAGCACTTACGTCTGATCCACAAGCACAAGGTAGAGAGAGCTAACTGGGAGTGGGCTTTTGAAACCTCAAAGTCTACCCTTAGTGATACACCTCTTCCAAAAAGGCCATAGCTCTAATCCTTCCCAGACAGTTCCACCATCTGGGGACCAAGTATTCAAACATATGGGCCTATGGGGGGCCACTCTCATTCAGACCACCACAGGAGTCCAGGCAAGAGGTTCTGCAGGACAACAGTCCTGAGATATGCCCCTGGAAGAAGACCTGAGGACATTTGCTGCTGAGTCTGGAATCCAAGGGAATGCCTGGCTTTCTGATTGTTTCAGGAACTAGGAACTCAAAGCAGGCACATTTGTGGGATCTAAGAACAGTGAGGACAAGGCATGCTTAAGATGAAGATGCCGGTGAGGAAGGTAAGGGGACAACCTGATGTAGGAGCTGGAGCAAGGGCAGAGAATGGTGCTGGGTTGTAACTGATGACAGTCGGAGCCCCAGCAACAGTGATGTTAGTGATGGTTAAATATGATACACACATAGGAATATTTGGGCTTAAAGATTTGGAAATCCTGACACGCTACAACAGGGGTGAGT